ACAATAACTACCAACATGTGACTAGATCAATATCTAACACGCATGGTTATGGAGAAGATTATTTGTTATCTCATGTATATGTTTAGTCTTCATTTCATTACTAATATGTAATTCATTTAAAACCTAATTTGTTTTTATTGGTTTAATTTGTGAAATTTTATTTTTTATACTTCACAATTGCTTATAGTATGGTCATGAATACAAAATTATAATCAAACTAATTTTTGTTAATTTACAAATTTAAATTTCATATGTAATTAGTAAGTAGACTTCTATAAAAGTCTACTAGTATGGTATTTAACCCCTAATTTATCTTTGTTTCTTTAATTTGTGAGATTTTGTGAAATTTTAATTTTTATACTTCACAATTATTTATACTTTGGTCATNAATACAAATGTTTAATCAAACTAATTTTTGTTAATTTATAAATTTAAATTTCATATAGAATTAGTAAGTAGACTTCCATTGAAGTCTACAAAATATCTAAAGTAGACTTCAATTGAAATCTACTAATAGAGTAGACTTCTTTAGTACATAGTAGACTTCTCGGAGGGGTAGAACAGTAATTGTGGCATCCATTTTTTTCTTTGGTCATAAGAGATGTAATTGTAATTTCACAACTCCCTTGGGTTACTTTTGTCAAACATGAGATAAGGGGTCTACTTTTACATTTAAAATCAAATTGTAGGTTATTTTTAGATATTTCCCCATTTTTAAATGAGAAACCAAAATTGTATATAACTTTAGAATAAAAACAAAAATCTGATAATATATTGATTAAAAGCTCTTTGATTATTTATGGTAACAAATATAAATTTAGTTGTACACGATTTTGTAATTGATTCAAAATTGCCATGTCACAATTTTGTTAGCTATATCATAATTGTTTTGGTGAGAGTGATTGTGGAGATGAAACATAAGCATCTTCTCATAAATCACGTATGTGGGGATAAATAATTGAAATCATTAAGATTATCTCCACAAAATATACGATATAATTTAATACATTTTCATAGAAATATTTCCGAGACTTTACTACCTTCAATTTCAATTTCTATGGAAATGTATTAAAACACATTCGAAGATAGTAAAGTCTCGGAAATATTTCTATGAAAATGTATTAAAATAAACCATATGTTATAAATAATGGTACTAAAATTTCATATGTTATTAACGTCAATCAAATAATCAAGAATATGGTAATTCTTATTTAATAGGAATATTTCCACAATATTTTTTTTGTGTATATTTTACTAAAGATTTTCATATTTTTAAATTTGGAGTTGATGATTCATAAGTTCTGGACTATAATAAGTCCATTATTAATTAGATATCAAAAATGTTAAAAAAAAATTATTGAAAGCTTTCAATATTTCCAATTATCAAAGATTTTCATATTTGAAAATTAGAATTGATGATACATAAATTTCAGAGTATCCAAATTTCACACTTTTAAATTTGTAGTTGCTCATATATTTTCTTTCTAAGATATTCTTAAATTTTGGATAGGCAAATTTGTGGAGATAACAATTTCTATAATCTTGTAAACGTCAGATAAATCTTGTGTAGATTTTATTAAAGATTGTCATACTTTAACTTTCGAGGTGAAGATACATAAATTTACCTTTGGACCTAAATGAAATGTAATCGATTTATTTAACTGATCTTTTTGGTTGAATAGAATTTTTTGGAAATAAAGTAAGATCCATTAAAATCCAAAACGAAATTATTTTTAAAAGTAACAATAACTAAAATCTCTAATCAAATAATCGAAAGAAAGCATGTAAAATTAATCTTCTATTATGTAAGATTATTTTTTTAAAATCACTTCTTATAACTTCATCAATGAAGCCATCATTCTCATCCTCTTTTTAAGCTTGGGCTAATTTAATTATTGAGTTTGGCTAATTTTAATTAGAGATTAATGGACTAAATTAGAGAGAATGTCATGTCATNTTTTAAGGGATGTCACATTAAAATTGGGAGAATGATTTTAGTGAAAACACCTAAGTTTTTTTAAAAAAATCACTCTCCAATTAATATATAAGGCATTGATTAGCTAAGAAATTCCGAGTCTAGGTCCATAATGTTTTGGACTGAGAGCAAGAATAAGTCGAATTACTAACAAGTCCGGATCAAAAGCGAAATGGATGCTCTGGTCCAAATATAAACATTCGAATAAGAACACAAGAAACTTTTTTAAAACAAAAAAAAAAAACACAAGAAACTTTACTTTGACAAGATTGAAACTGCCTATTTTTTTTTTATTTTTCTGTAGTTTAAATAGAAGCAAAGTGGAAATGGGAAAAGTGGTAGATGAATATTAATCTTTAGGTTTGACATCAACTCAAGTATCTTGGGTTTGGTTTGACGCCATCCGGTTCCAGGCTCTCTCGTTAACCGGCACGAATTCAACCACGAAAAGGTCGCCACTATTGCCAACTTCCAGATAGTTAATGAACTCTTCCCCGAGGTGGTACTCACGAACTCTGATATCACGATCGGAATGATTAATCAAGTAACCGCCTCTGCTTTTCTTGATCTTGAATAGGTCGTAGCCATCATTCCTTTGCCCTGTCCCGACAATACCTCTGGTCCTATCAGACCGGTAACCAAGTTCCCAATACCCGGTCTGACCGGGACAGAAATCTTCCATCCGTTGGAAATTGAAAGCGAGCTGGGTGGATTCATACACAAAACGACCTGACTCTTGTTTTGATATTATTGACGACTCTGTAAAGAAAGCAACAGGTTCACGTGGAGAGATCAACGGACTTCCAGACAGTACAGCGAATTGAGGACATGGAGTTTCAAGGCTTGGCCTGAAAAAGGAAAGCCATACTCCGTCTCCAAAGTTATAAGCGGGTTTGATATAATATGGGTCTCCGATTCTAAGCGGCTTCCCATTGACATCCAAAACCAACTTGTCTTGGCCTAGGACAGGGACAGATGTTGTGATGACCACGACCATGATGAAGGTGATTGTAGCTTTCATGGTGCTTCTG